CCTCACGTTGTTTTCAGTTGTGCAATGGGCTTGCTAGATCCGCAGTCATGAATTTTGTGACTTTATTTCTTTAGTGTAGGTTGTTTATACTCTTTGTTTATGTTGTTTGTGGAACTGCACTTATCAGCTGAAAGTAGGGTTATTTTAACGGAAGACCTCAACCTGCCTATTTTTGATTGGACATCCGGTAAGGTAGGTAAAACTGAAGTCGCATCCTCTGGGCTTCTGTTAAATATCTATCATTGTTTTAATATGCGACAGCTAGTGAACGCCCCAACTAGAGTATCAGACACAGGCCAAGCAACATTGCATCTGCATTTTTTTAGTAATGTGATCGAAGCTGATGAGGTCGTTGTAATTGACTGGATATCTGAGCACTAAATGCTATTATTCACCATTCAACTTTCTAAATCGCCATCTTAAAACGCTCGTCCGGAAAATTTGGTTCGAGATTTTAAAAACTCGGATTATGTGTCTGTTTTCGACTACTTAGAATGGCATTTTGATGATTAGAGTCAACTCTCTGGTGTCAGAATGCTAGTTGCAAAATTTAAGGCTATAGTATTTCACTGTGTATATTATTCTTTCCCATCAAGAAACGTGTGAGCAAAGAGGGGCCGTTCTTGAATTACTATGGAAATCCTACAGTTCAAACAAAAAACAAACTGCCGAAATAAAAAAAAAACAAATGGAAACTTCTATGGAGATAGCTGATTTAGGCCTCGCGGTTCTTGAAGGAATCCCCACAAGGCTTTTGGCGCTTCTTTTGATAGCTAAGGAGACTTCGCAAGTTACAGTTAATAATGAAGCTATTTTTTGTCGACTTCGAATTTCAGCTGAATTTACAAAATACTTTCAGTTCGCGTTTACTGTGTCACGCGACCCACCGAAATGCCCTGCCTATGTTTCTTATCAGTCAGAAATGCCGGAGCTCGTTCTGTCGGAGAACTGTATCTCTAAATTGCTTTTGAACACAAACGATAAAAAGGCATATGACCCATACGATATTACAAATACGTTTCTAAGAAGACAGGCACAGTGGGTCTCAAGGTACTTATTTGAAAATTTTCAAGCTTTTCTTTGGCAGGGCAGGTTACCGGCAGATAGGTTACGTGTGAAAGCAGTGCCAAATTCACAAGTCTGCGAACAAGATGGCAACGGAAAATTATCGTCCTATATCGTTAACAGCGATATGTTATAACCTTTTAAAACATATCATATCAAAACATAATGTTCATGACTTGGAAAACAATTACTTACTATTCAAGCATCAGCACGGGTTTAGGCAGGGTCTACCAACGGTCACACAGCTATTTGAATGTACGCATGAGTTCGCGTCTGTTATATATGAACATGGTCAAGTTGATGCAGTATGCATGGATATTTCAAAGGCCCTTGGCCATATTCCGCGTTACAAATTTCATGGAAACTGTAAATTAAGACTGAATCGGAGTTTTTTAATATGGATACGTTCACGTTTAAGTTACCGAACACAGTATGTCAGTTATTGCAGTGTGTTCTCTCTTCCATTGGCAGTCTATTGAGGGTTACCCCAATGCTCGGTTTGAGGACCTCTCTCATTTTTGTTTGTACTAATGACATAGCTGCGAGTCTGCTTTCTTCTGTACATGGTAAACTTTTCGCGGATGATTGTATGCTCTTTTCTAAAATTACTACAGTTCGCAATCAAGGGTTACCAAATGCGTCTTTGAGGTCAATCAGCTTATAATGTACTACATTGGGCATGGCTATTAATATTAATGAGACGGTGCTGTGTAGTATTACCAGTAGCGTGAAAGTATTAGATTTTCGTTATTCTACAGGGAGCACAAAACTTGCAGAAGTAGATGAATATAAGTATTTAGGTGTGAATTTTAGTAATACGCTACACTGCAATAGACAAGTGGAGTATATATATGTTCAAGGGCGTATAAAAAACTACCGCTTCTTAGACGGCACCTGAGATATGCAAATAAAGATGTTATATTAACCGCATGTGCGTCCGATATTGGAATACTCAAGTTGTTTATGGGACCTGCATAAAAGTGGTAACTTAGGCGAGTTCGTGATGCATTAAAACTAAAAAAGCGCACAAATTAGAGGAAGGACGAATGAGGGGAATGTAAACTACAAGCGCTTGCCGTGTACATACCACTCACTCGTACTTCATCTAATTTTTGCGCTTTTTTTTGGTTGTGTATGGAACCTCTGCAGGAAAAAAAAAAACAGGTCACACAAATAGAAGGAATTGAGAGCCTTGTCCTACGATTTATTTTTTTCGGAATATGGGCATACGTCGTGTGTTACTGCAATGAGATCTGAGGCGAAGTTGAAGAGCCTGGAGAACAGAATAAATATTTGTAGGTTGAAATAATTATTCGTTATGGTAAGCGGGCTGACAAGAGCTGATTCTGAAAAAAAATATCTGTTGCGTTCGACAACCCATTTACATAGAACGAGCAACAACAAAGCGATTGCACCGTATCAATACAATAATGATGTCTTAAAATACTATTTTATTTTGCAGAACAATTATTGGTTGGAACGCTCTGCCAGAAGAACTTATCAGTTTTTGCAGCCCTGAGCTGTTCTGAGTCCAATTAACTGATTTTTTGTTAAATTAAGTGCTGCATGTAAAACGTATGCGCAGGCACTTCGAATTGCCTGCGCAAGCTTTACCCGTGTAGAGTTCGTGATGATGTATGTATTATGTGTTTTTTGTCCTCCCCTGCGTAGACCGACAGGCGCACAGTATTGTAAATAACTAAATAAATAATCCCCATTCATAATATGTAACATCCTTACAATATTGGCTTCGGTCAATGCAGTTATCTCAATAAATAAATAAATACATTTACACAAAGGTGCAGCGTATTTTGTGCCAAAGAAAAATTCTCAGGGTCTCATAGGTTATCCCTAAGACGACTTGAAGGCGAAAGCGCCAAGACCTTCTTAAATCGCTTTGTCATCCGTGCTAATTAGCCACACTAATTAGCCACCTTCATTAGTCAGCTTAAACTGCTGAGTCAACCCCCTCAATGTGTTTAGTCAATCTTCATAATGTGCTGAGTCATCCTTCTCATTGTTCTGAGCCATCCTTCTCAATGTGCTGAGTCCTCATGGTAATTCACTAAGTCATCCACATATTTCGCTTTAATTCCTCTGAATTCAATCTCAATCCTCTGAATCAACTTTGTCGTCCTTCTTAATTCCCATTGATTACTGTTTCTTCTCTTTAAATCCTCTTAATTCAATTTGATTCTTCTTAATTCAATTTGATTCCTATTAAATTGTTTTATCATCCTTCCTAATTTCATTGACTCTTATTCGCCTGAGTTGTCACTCAAACGTTATGGTACCTCTCATGTAGCCGACGCGTTTTCGCTCAAGGACTTTGAAGGTCGACTGAACGATGAGACATACAAGGTTTTCGCCTTAATAAACAAGGAATTTATTACCGCGCACAGCGCGCCCTTTTTTGGACTAATTATTCGCAATAATATTCAAGCTTCACGCACACATTGACTTATGTAAACCTTTGGAGAAAAAAAATATCGGGCATCATTTACGTTTGAATTATCGGCCTCCAGGTGGTCGTACGCGTTCGTATTACCATAATTTTGTTCTTTCTGACTCAGAGTCTGATGACGCCGCAACGGTGGCAATTAGGCAAATGCATTATATTGGCTCGAAGCTATGCAATACGGAAACTCGGGGGGGAAAGTTCATTCTTTTGTTTTTTGTCGTGTCTGTCTCTGAACGCAAATATCCCGTATGTGTGACGGGCGAGAAGATATGCCCGTACAGAAAGCGGCTTATCTGGAAGTGCTCCAGACTATTGCGGCGCGTTATCGTAACTAAGATTAGCCGATGAGTCCTACGCACACGACGAATTTATGGGTTTTTTTCTTAATCACATTGCACATTGTCTGGATCACAGAGAACTTTGAAGCCGCGACTGCACTCGGCGCTGATAGCACCTTACATATAAACTACGCCGAGAAACCTACGAAACACTGAAACTTGCAGCGGGTTTGAACGTCTCTGGTAAGACGCCCGGTGTAACGATGCATGGGGAAGTTTTGTTACGTGCGTCCGTCCTAATTCGCCGTCGAAAGGTCATCGTCAATGCGCTCATCGTTTCTTTGAGCTCGCGAAAACAAGGAGCTTCACCGCGATGTATTGTTGCCGCTGCTTGATTGGCTACATCGGATCCTAGCTTAGGCTGTGGTTAGAATGCGGCAGGAAGTAAAACACTGTTTAATTTAGGTTCGCACGTAAAGAGCTCGACACGGTTTTCGTAAACAAGTGATCAACAGGTTTTCTTATTTTTATATTTTTATTTCGCGAGAAGACGCTGGACGAATAACATTAATAGTAGCATTTTTCTAAAATGTATTCATCGAGCATAGCGACTTCATTAGGTAGCAAAATTTGAAGTTCGTAAATTTCTCGTGTAAACGAAATGCGCCTTAGCACCAGTGTTTTGTTCGAGCTAGCGTTGCTTCTCCGGGTGCTACTGATTAATTGGGGAAAATAAGCGTTCGAAAATAGTGTCTGCTTTTAAACACTAAATATTCCGGTTTGAATTGAAAACACAAGAAACTACATATTATCTCTTATTATGACTTAGTCTGATCAAAGTTGCTTAGATACAACACGAAAGCTTTTCTCCAACAGTAATGAGCATGGACGGTTAGGGACTTCTTGGGTTGGTATACGTAGAGAAATATTCACTTAGTGTGTAGGATTAAATAACTTATTCCGGGAGCGCAACGAAACATATTTGCCCCTTATAAGGCACAAACGCTAAACCTCATTATGCTTCGCTGATCGTTTCTCGTCAGTAAATACCATGTTGAATGCTTTTAAACCTAGATAATTTCTTCAAATAATTACTGGGGTGGATCTGGGAGCGCAGTAAGGTAACACGAATGTAAGCTGTATACCTTGAATAATAGAGTTCGGAAACATGTATTTAAAGATATGCTCGTTTTCAGCTCTTGCCAAACCGTCAAGATGGCCATCTCGTCCCTCTTCTGCGTGTGCCTGGTTATTGCCGGTAAGTAGAAACCTCCTTTCAGGAGAGCCGTCTTGGCGCATTTCTTTTTTCTTTTTTTAGTGGTGTTTTATTTTACTCGATGTCAAAGTTACTGACCACTGCAGCCGACATTCCCAAGAGATCTGCAAGGAGAACAAAAATGTGATCAGTCTAGAAAGATATATGTTAAAAACAAACACCCGAGATTAATGTCTACTTATACGAAAATACTCCTGCACTATTTTTGCGAGAAATTAATCACAATGGGGTCTTTACCAAAGAATTGTCCTTGCTTATAACAAGACCATATTTGGGTTTCTGGTCGTTTAATGTTGACGTGTAACTAAAAGAAAAATAATTCCGTGTGCAGAGTTGTTTGGAGATGAGTGGGAGATATGATCTGCCCCTGTTGCTTTCTCTACCTCAGCAAAAGTGTTTCGTTTCTCGGCGCCTCTATCCGTTTAAAGTCATCATGGAAAATATCCGCCAGCTCGCCTGCTCACTGTCAGTATTTTGAGTAATGTTCTGTCAATTCATTTCAGAGATCAATTTTTTTTTTTTTTTTTTAATTTTACGAAATTTTAGTCGCTTCAGTCGAAGTCGATACAACGCCGCCTAAAACTTCGTCTCGAGCTCGAATGCTCAGTGCTTGATCATATGGCTTCATCTCAACGTTTAACAAATTATTCTGGTAGGTTAAGCACCTCATCTAATGTCTCTTCATATTTAAGCAGTCAACCAGACTTAAAAGGAACGAGGTCATATCTTAAATTGAAACAAAATTTCAAGCGTGACGGACATGGATTTTTTTTTTTATATTAGCAACGATGGCATATGGTACTATAAAAGAATACAAGTCGCTTGTCATAGAAAATCCAGTAAGCGAACGTAACCATAATATGGATTCTATTGTCACGAATGACATGCAGATTATACTTAAAGTTCTCTTTGTATATTTGCAATTTGGGTTAATTAATTTATGCATGCACGTGTTATTCGGCATAGAGGTATAGCAAGCGCACTCTCATGGCAGCATCTCATAAGACACGAAGTGTTTAAGTTAAGTGTTTGTTTTAAACCGCGGGAAGACTGTCAAGCATACTGGGCCTCTGATGTAACCGCTGTAGACGAGAAATTTACCCGATACAGTACCAGTGCTAGCCTGGGGTATTCAACGGGCATCGCACCGTAGTTGCGCTCGACGACACGCCGGTCCGATGCTCACCCAGGTCACAACGGAAAAAAATGCGATCCTTCAGGGACTGTTGGGTGACGTCGCCGTCCCTCGTTTTCCAGCGACTCCACGTTTAGTTATTCACCAGGGGGGAAGCAAGCTTGAAGTTTTGGTCAAGTTACGTTCCCATTTTGTTAGTTAGTGCACCCGATGAGTCGCAGCCCTTTGTTGTCAATCAACTAGAGGCAATCACAACTAACCTGGCCGTCGTATCTTTGCGTCAATTTGTGAAGAGGCCAACTGACAATGAGCGAAAGACAGTAGTCTATATCGATTGACGCCCACCACCGACTTTGATGTGCTGATTATGCCCCAGGAAACATTCGTAGGTTTTTCACAACACTATGAAAAACGCGCAACGCGGAATACCCATACTTTTCAGGAAGTAAAGAGAGGATATGAGGACGTTCTGCTCCGATTCAATCAAGCTATTAAAGGTTTAAGGGGTTTCTTGATGCGTTTTGCGAAAGGCCGCCTTGCACTGACTTTCAGATACTCCAGAAATATACTGGATACTACTAATAATATGTACCGTTATCTTTCGCTTGCCGACGTAGCCACGAGATACTGCTTTCCACGTGGAGGCTGTATTACGTGCCCTGGAACATAGCGTTCTCCACGAGCAACGGTGTCAAAAAGTCGGGGTACATCTGCTATCAGTCCTAATTTTATCACTTACCCGTGACGCTAAAACTTCAAGAAATCATTTTGCACTGTTCATGGTATCGATATTAGGTGTTTTAGCCATTGTATAGCTGCTAATTATTTTGTAATCTAAATATTGCATTAAATGTCTTCCGGTGTATATTAAATTATTTGCTATAACAGAAAGCCATAAACCTAATTCTTTTAATTACGGGACTGCTGTCTTTAATTCGACTACGCAACAAATACTGTACGAATAACAAACGTTTTACTTCATTTAACGTATAATATTTAAATGTTTGAATATTTGACTCTTCACCACTGTAACTTACCTTCCAATGCTTTTTTTTGCGTTCTGCGTAACCAGAATAATGTACGTGGGGCAGAATATTCCAAATAGTGTTGTCAAATAGACACGGTATCAAATACCAAATATGTGGATTAGTTGCTTATGTGGAGAATATGCTATAATATTCTACAGCGTATTCACATCCTAAATATTTATGTTATGCCACACTGCTCTAACATTCTGGCAGTTGGACACATTTCCTTTATTTCTTCTAATACTGTGTATTAATTTTCGAAGCCTGTTACTGAAGTCTTAACTTCGTAAGCAATGAAAATCTGACTACAATCCCCCCCCCCCCCCCCCCAGAGGCATTCATACACTACGTGCCACTCTGAAGCAGATCTAATTATTTGTCCTACCAGGTGCAGCCATCAACTGTAAATAGAATCGGTTAGTTTGCAGATAATGTCATTTGAAAATATGTTTTACTCAGCACACGTACAAAAATTTGGAATCGTGTTATTGTCCAATAATAAGCGATCTGCACATTTTATAAGAGAAGTTGTTTACTTTTCGGTATATCAAAGTTTTCACGACAGTCGTTATACAAACCCTAGCGACCTTGGCACTGCAAAAAGAATGTACAATCAATAAATGTCATTTTATATCTTTACGCTAATCTTTGTATCAATAAGTCTATGCATTATTTCTCGTACGTAAACAATAAATAATGAAACAGCTAATCCGAGTGAGCAGAAATAAATAAATAAAATCAAAATTTTTCCATGTGACGATACATCTGAACAAATGGATTTAATGCCGCTTTCGCACTACCTACATAAGAGCCGTAAATTTCGGCTCGCGGGAAGCCCAAGGCATGTAAAAACCGTGCCTGGAATTCACGACATCACATTAAATTGCACTTTTCGCAACGCGCTGGGTTGTAATTTAAAGAAATAAAGGTTCCTCGTATATTCAAAAAAATATCACCGCCAAACACAAAGAGCATTTCTGGCAGATCTGACTACACTTCTACACTTCTATTATTTAGCATAGTGCCAACGCGTTTTCGTCATTATTGTGCAGTTTTCTTGCACCTTTGCATTTAATTGCTTATAAGCGTACTAGGGTTGTTAATCTTGATGACAAAAATCTAACTCGAAAGGTATTAACCGGCAAAGACCTCGTCTGCCAAACATATAGCGACCTTAGCACTGCAGGGCTAGCAGGCGCCCAATGTCGGGAGTAAGTGGGCGATTCTACGAAATGTTCTCGAAAAGATTTTAAAACGTTTTCTAGCTTGAAAAAAAAAAAGAAAAAAAGAACGAGGAAACGCATTGTTGATTGTGTTGTTTCCTCCCAATTGTAGCGCTACCGGGCCAAACCAGGTATCGAAGAGTTCAAACGAACTATTATTTTATTCAAAAGAAATAAGTGAATTTCGGAAATTATTTGGTGGTAAAATGGTGGCCAAATAAGTTCGAGAATAGATAAGGCTAAATGGCGCAAACTACGTAGAAAGGGCCCAAATGTCCTATTGAAAGTTTCAGAAGAACACAGATAGCGTTTGAATAAGGCAACAGTTAATTATGGCAGCTTTGCATTTGGTCTGGACAGCGAGCGCTACAATGGGTGGGGATAGAGCGTTCGGCAATGCGTACACTATTTTTTTCCGGGAAACAATATATTTATTTATTTATTTACCCTCAAGGCTTGAGGCATTAGAGAGGGGAGTGGATTACATTTCATAAGAAAATTCAACATTTTCAGCTATTAGTATAGGCCAGCGGTTCTTAAATAGGGGTCCCCGGACCCTTTGGGGTCCGCGAAGGCATTCTAGGGGTCCGCAAAGCCTTGCCTTGTGAGTCAAGTCGGGCAAGTGTTATTGTGTTATTTTAAAGTGTTATTTTATCCTATTGAGAGGAGACGTTTCAATTTTCGGGTGAGTTTTCTAGCTTGTACATCAATGGGAAAAGTCTACTTGACGCCAGCCCTTTGTTATATCCAAATATTATATATCATTATCATTATAAACCTTTCCCTTCCCCTCGACACGAACGGGGTCCTCCACCATTTTCGCCGATTCACAAGGGGTCCGTGAAACATCACTGCATGAGAACCACTGGTATAGACAAAAAGGAGGCTCCTAATCATAGCATGATAGATAAAGCGTTCTTGAAAAAAGTGTGGTCTTCCATGGTTGCCGTAGGTGCGGGAAGGCGATTCCACTCATCTGATGTGCTTGGGAAAAAGGACTGAAAAACTGCGTTAGTTTTGCAGAATGGAATTCCAACCTTAAAAGCATGATCCAACGTGGATGAGATGTACGGGGGAGATAAAATAAAGTCATGGCGCAGATATGGGTGATGAAAAAACTTGTGAAATAGGCACAGTCGAAATAATTTACGGCGAGATGCTAGAGTTGGTAGGTTGAGGCTAGATTGCATTGAGCTTATGCTGGCAGTTCTGTTATAGTTAGATAGGATAAAACGAACTGAAATATTTTGAACCATTTCAAGTGAACCTATTAAAATTTTCTTGGTAAAGATCCCACACAGGTGAAGACTATTCAAGTTTTGAACGGATTAATGTCTTATATAGCAAAAGTTTTAAGGACGGAGGGGCTTTTGAGAAGTTACGTCGAATGTATGCAAGCATTCTGTTAGCGTTGTTAATAACATACGAGATTTGAGCGGTCCAGGTGAGATAGGCTGTAATGTGAATGCTAAGGTACTTACTTGTAAGAAGTGACGGCATGAAGGGGACGGTGATTTAGAAAATATGTGCTTTTCTAGATACGCGCATATATCTTAATTTATTGACGTTTAGGTTCATATACCATGCTTTGCACCATTCAGAGATGGCATTAAGGTCCGACTGCAGGTTAGTTATATCGTCATCACAAGTTATTTCGCGAAAAACCACGCAGTCATCGGCAAACAAGAGAATGTTAGAAAAAACGCAAGAAGGTAGATTGTTTATGTAGATAAGGAAAATGAGAGGTCCAAGGACATAACCTTGTGGCACACAGGAGTGAATACAAGTTATGTTCACTCCGGAATTGGGAAAAACGCTGTATTTCGTCTTAACTTTTTGCTTATGTGTTTCGTCGTCCAAGTTGTATGTTGTCAATAAGTGTTATGATTTTGCCATCAAAGCGACACAGAACTGAACTCCCAAAGGGCATTTTTTAATGAGCCCGAAGAGAACACCCATGTCCCAAATACCCCCCCCCCCCGCCCCCCCGCCTAGAAAAAGAATAAAAAAATAGAAATATGCCGGTACAACGAAACACTTATTTAGTTTAGAGCAACTCCGAAATGTAATTTTATTGTGAGACGCAGACCCCAGATTAAAATCATGTTTCAAATAGCTCCTAGACAATCTGACCTTCCTCCAAAAATCATTTTTTATGTGCCTAGGTTATGTAAAATACTTCAGCAGAAACGAACTTTTATCGCAATATTTACGTTACCAGACTTGTCCCAAATCAGGAACGATTCGCATTTTAAAACCATTACAAAAACGTCACCCCGCCCCCCCCCCCCCCCCTCCTCCGAAAGGGGAACGTGCTTTAAAGTCACTGGGCCTCCCGACGGAAGTATTGCGAGAAAATGCATTTTTCAGGGAAACTATTCTCGTGATACCCACATGTCTTATTCCGGTACTTGAAAATGTCTTATTGATAGCTGATTGCCCCTTTAAATCATGGGACTCTTTTCCGTCCCTTAAAATGGCCTTTGCTTCGTTTCAGGTGCTTTCGCCGGTTCCATACAGGATGCCAACATGTACATGGACGCGGTCCTCCGAGATCACCTTCCCAACAACGTCCGTTCCCTCAACCTGGACCCCGTCGGCGTCCCGGCATTCAACGTGAAGGTCGACTCCACGGGTTTCACCAACCGCGACCTCAAGGCGGAATTCAGGTCCGGAACCCTTTACGGCCTCTCGAGCACTCTCAGGCGCCGCGGGGACTGCGGCGTCCCTGGCTGGCAGGGGGCCAACGTCACCACGGGCTGCTACATGTCTCTGGACGGTCTTCGTATCACTTTCGACGGATCCGCAAAAGGATACGACATGAGCGGCAGCAAGAAGGACTTCAGCATGGACCTGGTCGTTGAGAAGACCAACGCTTTCGTGGAAGCCACTGGTTGGAGCGGTAAGTGCGCGCTGTCTTTTGTGCGAAGCTGCGGGGCTCGTGACCACGATGAAAACGCATAATTCTAGTACAACACGAGGCGGCATAGTTGATATTAGAACCAGAGGCATTAACGCATTGAAACAGTGGGGCTTGGAAGTGGTCCTCCAATCTCTTTAGGCGTTCTTGTTGTATATGTTAGCTGAAGACACGCGAGGCGTGACGACAATCTCACTAGTTCTGTAGGTAGTGGTACTGTGGCCTTTGCATATCAAATAATAAAAACGTCAAAGAACTAGTCTCGAGACAACAAGAAGTGCGATTCTTCGCAGTTCTTGCAGCACTTCTTAAGTTGATAGTGATATTAGCACAGAATTCAAGGGAGAGGGAGGGAAACTCCCCGTTACTTGTGTGACGACGTCGGCGTAGCCACCTGCCAAGGCGGTTCTAAGAAGAGAAGTCGACGGAAGCCGACACAAGTCGAAAACCGAAAGCAGTATCAGGAATCACATATCTCCCTCCGGCCTAGCTCCCCTTGAGAAGCAAAGAGAGACGCCAGGACGGAGAGACGCGGTGCGAGGAGGACCGGAAAGGAGGACATCGTCGGGGAAGAGAAAGAAGGAAGGGACCCCGACGAGTCGATCCCAGATGCTGTCCGTCCGGCAGACGTGCGGGGACCACGCATCGGTCCTCCCGTTTCTGTTGGAATTAAAATATATTTAGAGTTTGCAAGCGCATTCTTCTCGTCCTCTCTCTCCGCTTTGGGACGACCCGAACTCTACACTTCTATTTCCCGAACATTTCCAATGCCCCTGGTTTAATGTGAGCCAACGGTGGTAATTACGATAAGACTACATTACATACTGCAGCATATTGTTTTTTCTTAGGTTTAAACAAAGCTTGATTCCAGAAATGTAGCAGAGATACTTTTTGGAAGGATTCACCGGCGTGAAGTTTGAAGTATTTTTATCCGTAATTCATCACTTCCTACAAGCCATATCTGGCGCCCTTTCAGGTTAGTAAACAAGATGAGAGCAGCGTTATTAAGAACAGTTTGTTGCTTGTCTGCTACAGATTGAGTCGACCTGTGTACCCGAAGGTGTGCTATTTGAAAGTGCGGTACGACTTCTAACCTGGAATTCTTATACCGAACAATAGATATGTGAATTAACGTCGCTATAACAAAAATTTCCATAGAAATCAGATCAGGTGATATTGGCCGTCATTAACTTTGAGTCTGGAGCACTAGCTTTTACTTCACCAGATTCCAAGTGTAGCGCAGATTAAAATGATAAGTCACGAGGTCACCCCAGAAGGCGTTCGGAAGAACCCTAGCTTACAGAAACCTACATGTGTGCTTCAAAGGGGAGATTTAGATCCAATGTTGGTAACCGGAATATCTTTGATATTTGATTAGATAGCGGACATAAGAACGGACACCCGCTAGGTTGAATACCGCATAGGCCAAACGTCTGAAAAAGAATAATCAATTCTAAAACTGTTTCATCCCAATTCAACATAAAATAACTATTGATAATCATGCTATTTGTCAGGCCCGTAAGGTACCAAGATATCGAATATTATTTATGTATTCGGTTATTACTCCGATTCGATGTTAAATAGAACTTCATTTTACCTTATTGTGTTTAAAAAATGTATCGATATATAATTGCAATTTATAACTGAACGGCTAGGGTATTTGATGTACTTATTAACCAAATAACGTGCTCAACACTTCTTGGGGTATGTTTTGTGTCCTTCGCCAATGTTATTAGGATTGACCAGCGCTTAGAATAGCTGAGCCCCAGAGATATATTGCTTCTTTCGGACTTTCTTTACGAAACAAAACATGAATTTCTACCAAACCATGTTATTACAACGTTGTTCGTTCGCTCTGTATTTTTTAGGCCGCCCAGCCGTGCTGAAGACCCTGACTGTGACAGGTGTCAACTTCCGCATCAACATGAACAAGAGCCTGAACTTGAACAGCAAGAGGCAGAAGAAGTTCGAGAAGGCCATCAGTCAGAGCGTCCAGAACCTCTTCTTGGGGGTGCTCTATGGTCCTTTCAGGGAGGCACTCAACCGCTCTGTTGCCAGGGTGGCTCTGCCAAGGGCGTAGGCAATCTCGTTGTGAAGAAAAAAATAAAAAAACGAGCAATATTGAATATTTCATGTTCGATCTCAGCATGAATATTGCGCATAGGGAAACTTATCATACTCCGTTTCACCACACGTCCGAGAGTAGTCAAGACTACACAACATACGAGTACACACATACTAAAAACGCAAGGTCACGGGGCATTATCTCCGATTGATTTGTCTAGCCGGCGATAGCACACACACAGAGAAAGATGAATGCTATGACGCTGCACTTTTTTCGCTGCTTGATCAACCCCAACCGCTAAATAAGCGGTTCGGTTCTCCGCTATGCACGTTTCTACGAAGAAGGGGGTCATTGAGACAAGATAGCGGAACTGAAGAAATCAACCCCTAAAAGTGGACCGCCTCGAGCAAAACCGGACGTCTGGTCACCTTATGGAATGTCAGAACCGTCAAGCCGTAGTCATATTGCTTATACATTTTTCGGAGGACAGTCTGCATACACCGTCTGGGCCGTGTTCCATTCTTGTCGCATTAGTTCTGTCGCATTGGTTCTAAACTCAGGGCAGACATGTTCCCGGCATACCGTTATTCATGAAGCAAATATGGTTCGAAGACCTTTCAGGCGTCTGCGTAGCTAATTCTGTCTTCACGACACCAGCCAACACCGTATTTTGGCTGCAGTTTCAGTGTTGGGGATGTTTATTAGACAATGTGCGAACATATCAAACATAATTTAAAGCGAATCTTTGCCGACCGTCGCATAATGCATATTACCCTACTGAAAAATAGTATATGAATCTATATAAGAACTGATATGAAATATCAAAAAACTGATATGCGACATATAAAACTGATATGAAATATCTAAAAACTACTATGCGACATATAAAACTGATATGAAATATCCAAAAACTGATATGCGACATATGAAACTGATATGAAATATCCAAAAACTGATATGCGATATTCGAACTGATGTGAAATACCCAAAAACTGATATGCGACATATAAGAACTGATATGAAATATCAAAAACTGATATGCGACATATGAAACTGATATGAAATATCCAAAAACTGATATGGGATATTAGAACTGACATGAAATACCCAAAAACTGATATGCGACATATAAGAACTGATATGCAACATATGCCAACTGATATGAATGTGTCCAATAAACATATCAGAAATAAATTCCTATAATTTTTTTTTTTCAGTATACGACGTCCTGCGCGGGAAAGCAAACACGTGGCTTGGAACCGCAGTGGAGCGGCTTGATTTACTGGCTTTCAAATAATTACGGCATGCGCGTTTACTTTTTATTAACAGATTCGTCCCCTGAGCCGTTGTAAATACTCTCAGAGATATGACATTACTGAAAAAAATCCAACACGCTGAAAATATTATTAAATATTATTTATTCCGCAGTTGGTCACCGAAAAACTCCGTACTTACAAAACGACCTGTATAAAAGGCGGAAACGCAGAGCTCCGAGGTAGTTATTGGGTGTGTTGTTGTATTCATGTTTGTTGTGCCGTGTGTGTGTATATGCGCTCAATGTATTCGTTCATCTGATGTTAGCGGTATGCGTAATGTATCTACATGATGGCGTGAGTAAATAAATATATTTTTGTAGCACATGAATTGGGCGGTACCTAGCGCAACCTATAGCCTAATGTAACTGACATGCGGCATATGAAACTGATATGAAATAATAAGTTCTGATATGAAAAAGGTGTTCAATAAACATATCAGAAAAAAAATTCATATAATTTTTTTCAGTAGGGTATTTCCCCCTTCTTGTCTGTTAAAAGTTAATTAGGGAGTTGTAGCGAGTAGTTTTCAGAGCACACGGTTCCGAAATAAGGATCTGTGCAGCTGATCCCTTCCGTGAAACCGTACGTGAAATTTGAAATAATTTAGCGAGTCGTAAAACTGCGTAAACGATGATGATGATTGCGTTCTACCGGCAGAGCTATCTTCTAGTAAACATGTGAAACGGTCAATAGCGTGCCAATCCGTGGCTAATCGCGCTTCCGGCTTACTACTGATGTAAACAAGGCGGCCGGCATAACATTTACCGGTCGCATTTTCGGGTCCCGCAAAGTTAAAGGGAGTAAACAAATTAAGGCTCCAATCCACACTGTGAAGCTGTGCAATTACCTGCAACGATAGGTTACTGCATTATAGACCCTTTTTATGGCAAACGTCCCGAGGTGATGCTCCAGTCCTGGACGTTCCAGAAAACTTCCGGTTTATAAAAAAATATGAACAAAGGCTACCTTAACCCGCTGCTTGAAATGTAGATGAAACGTTTCAACACCAATTCTCCAGGTGAATGCCAAAAAATGAAGGAGTAAGATATATGTTAAAATGTTTGGAGTATTCCTGCAAACAAACTTGCCTCCTGCAAAATTGTACAGACGAATGCCATCGTTAAATTTCCAACTTTGTTATCCTTGTAGCATTTATGCCTTCTATAGACCTTTTCCACAAGCGCGCCGCCATCTTGAATTGACGTCACTTCCAGTATGGGCAAAAACATTACTTTGCCGTTGCCACGCCAATAGAAGACATTTAGGATATAAGCCTAACCGTCACACATTCTCGTTTTGGTTCGCCTCTATTTTTTTACTAGTTACAGGTTGAAACGTTGTACTTTTTTTTCGTCGCCCATACTGGAAGTGACGACAATTCAAGATGGCGCCGCCCTTGTGGAAAAGGTCTATAGCACTCGTGACATAAGCAAGCACATGAGGCTTGCAAAGAATGTGCGACCGGTAGTCGCTTGGGGCGCAAGCGACACTTGATGGTTGTAAACAGCAAAACGGTCGATAACAAATTATTGACGAAATAAAAGTAAATGTTCTGTACCAAAACGTTTTTATATATAAAAGACTTCGTACGCTGCCGTGGCCGCTGCAGCTTATGCAACCGCAATTTTACCGTGAAACGCATGCGGGGAGCGCTGCGTGCTTATCATCTATTACGTGGTTTTGACACTTGTTTTGTGATTTTCTTATTGAAACAAGTGTCAAAACCACATGTTAAAAGATAAGGCGCACGATGGTTCCTTGTCGACGGACACGAAAAAACCAAACCTACATACAGCTTCGCTGTAAAGGTATCTGAACGACCCTGAAGGTAGTGGTGTATTTCCGTCATATTGAACTTGAACGATCGTTCACGTTTAGTGCCGTCTAACCAAATCACTTCGTTTGCACGCAGTCATCATGGCAGCTAATTATCTAGCAGATCGCTCAAATTTACTAGGATGCGTAGTTCACAGCATTCACGATCCCTTACTATGGGGACTAGTCCACGAAATGACTTGGTTGCACCTCTTAAATGAAGCAGAGTAAGGGCATGTTCACACGTACAGTTGAGAGCTAAGTCATCGCGCCGTGAGCGCTCGAAAAAGCGCTCTTGTGACGCTTTCTAGCGCGCGACTAATGGCTCGTTCACACATGCGGATTCGCAGACAAATCCGCAGGGAAATTGACGCCGGGAGGGCGAATCCCCTCGCCGGCAACGGAATATTCGACCGCCGGTGCAATCGGTCCGAAACCAATTCTTCCCGCGGCACAAAATTCTACCAATTCTTCAAGGCACGAAATTCGCAGTCGTCATGTTAAAGCGCTGCCATGTCGCCCACCTTCACTGCGCCAAGGAAACCTTCGTCTTCCTCGTCGTCGTTTTGGCAGGTGGTGCCTCAACGGGGGCTCTCGGCAGACAGTCGGCGTTACTGTGTTTGCGACCTAATTTTTACGCAATGGTCATGTCGAAATTCTGCATTCGGAGACTAGAGCGGGCGAGGCGTCCAGAGGGATCCTTTAGGTTCCCGATCTAACACAGCGACTGGTGATATGTGACCACGCGGAATGGACTGCCATACAAGTACGGCCGAAACTTTGTAATCACAGAGACGACAGCATGGCTTTATTTTTCTGTCTTGGAGAAGCTGCATTCTACCTTAGGCAGCGCCCGACTTGCGTAAGCAATCACTCGCTCCGTACCCTCGTGCCGTTGGACCAGTACCTCACCAATAGTATTACTTGCGTCTGTGTGGATTTCCATTTCTGCTAACTGGTCGAAATAGCCGAGGGTCAGGGGTGTCTGAAGTCTTCGCTTGACCTCGTCAAATGCCCGCTGTTGTTCTTTTCTCCCTTGGAACTTCACAGCGCCCTTTGTGAGATGCGCTAGAGGCGCAGAAAGCTTGGCAAAATCTTGAAGGAAGCGCCTATAGTAGGCAAAGATACCCAGACATCTTCTAATGGCCCTCTTGTCCGACGGTGGTGAAAAGGCGGCTACAGCGCGCCTCTTCTTGGAGTCAGGGCGAACACCTTCGTTGTTCAGGAAGTGGCCTAAGAACTTTAGTCCGTCATAGGCGAAGCGGCATTTCTTCGGTTTGAAGGGGAGTCCAGCGGTCTTGAACACTTGTAGTACTGCTGGAAGGTCTCTCAGGTGCTCTTCAAAATTTCGTGAAAAGACAACGACTTCGTGTAGGTAGGCGAGGCAGCTCTGCTATATCAAACCTGCTAGCATGGCGTCCACGATACGCTGAAAAGTTGGGGGTGCCTACAAAGTCCGAAATTCATCACTTTAAACTCGCATAATCCGTCGGACGTGACGAAAGTCGTTTTCTCACGCTCTCGCTTGACGACATGAATCTACCAATAGCCACTATTCAGGACTATCGACGAAAAATATTGGGTGGCGCAGCCGGCCCAGGGTATTGTCCACTCGAGGCAGTGGGTAGGCGTCCTTTTTTGTCACGGCATTTAGTTGACGATAGTCTTCTCAGAAACTCAGTGTCCCATCCTTCTTCTTTACCAGGGCCACTGCGACGCCCAGAGACTGCTTGAAGGCGGGATGATGTCGTCATTGAGCATTTCTTGTACTTGTTCTTAGATTACCTCCCTTTCTTTTACGGAGACTCGGTACGGCGATTGGTGCACAGGGAGCCCGTCGTCGTCGGTAACAATGTGGTGCTTCGCTTCCGTCGTTTGTCGCACCCTTGAAGATGTGGCAAAGCTCTCAGTGAACTCGCCGAGGAGGTCA